GATCAGAATCACCACAGGGCTTCACATTTAGGGTTTAGGGTTTAGGGTCGAGGGCTTACGGTTTAGGGTTTAATGTAGCTTGTAGGGTTCAGGGTTTAGGGTTAAGGGTTCAGGGTTTAATGGTTTATGGTTTATGGTTTAGGCTTTAGGGTTTAGGGTTTAGGGTTTAGGGTCGAGGGCTTACGGTTTAGGGTTTAATGTAGCTTGTAGGGTTTAGGGTCTATGGGGTTTAGGGTTTAGGGCTTATAGGGTTTAGGGTTTAGGGTTCAGGGTTTAATGGTTTATGGTTTAGGCTGTAGGGTTTAGGGTTTAGGGTTTAGGGTTTAGTGGTTTAGGGTTTAGGGAATAATGTAGCTCTTTGCCAGAAAAGCCAAAAACGAAGCCACCAGCAGTCCAGGAATCGAAATCTCTCCCTGAACCCTAAACCCTAAACCCTGAACCCCAAACTCTAAACCCTAAACCCTATATACTCTAAACCCTAAACCCTAAACCCCAAACCCTAAACCCTATAAACCCTAAACCCTAAACCCTACAAACCCTAAACCCTATAAGCCCTAAGCCACAGCTTTACTTGCCGGAGGTCGTTCGCTTTTCAGGCATGTGGAGTCCCTCAACCGTGAGCCCTGGAGGCCCGAAAACCTTTGTGCCCAAGTTGCCACGGTTTAGGGTTTATAGAGTTTTCAGCCTATAGGGTTCAGGGTTTAGGGTTTATAGGGCTTAAAGTTTGGGGCTTATAGAGTTTAGGGTTTAGGGTTTATAGGGTTTAAAGGGTTCAAGGTGTAGGGCTAGTTTGGGGCTTATAGAGTTTAGGGTTTAAATTTCATAGGGCTTAAGGCTTGGGGCTTATGGAGTTTAGGGTTTAGGGTTTAGAGGGTTAAGGTTTGGGTTAAGGTTTGGGGCTTATATAGTTTAGGGTTTAGGGTTTATAGGGTTTAAGTTTTGGGGCTTATAGGGTTTAGGGTTTAGGGTTTATAGGGTTAAGGTTTGGGGCTCATAGAGTTTAGGGTTTAGGGTTTAGGGTTTATAGGGTTTATAGGGTTTAGGGTTTAGGGTTTAGGGCTTGTAGAGTTTAGGGTTTAGGATTTCGGGTCTTTTCGGCTTATAGAGCTTAGGGCTTATAGGGTTCATAGGTTTACAGGGTTTAGGGTTTAGGGTGTAGGGTAACGAGGCCCTAAGTGTCTTAGCTATTGCAAGCTTGTCTTTTGTCGGATCCGACAAAGCTCTTACTTCCTGTATTCTGAGATGCAGTGTTCCTGGGGAGCTGTGTTCCCAAACCTCGAATCCCACATCCCTGAATCCAAATCCCTAAACCCCAAACCCTGATGCTTTTGTCATATAAACACAAAAAGGCTTCGGAAATATTCTTCTTGCCCTTCTGCACACGCTCTTCTACAAACCCCTACAGAACCGACATAAACCCTAGCCCTAGCCCTAATCTAAGACTACTCCAGACAAGTAAAAGCTCGCAGCCCCTTTCTGGAGATCTCAGAGCAGCGCCATCTTCCCTGACTGTGGTTCAAGGTCTGCGGGGCATATGTGACGGGACCTTGGAGGGACATCAGATTGAACTACAGAGGCTATGAAAGCTGCTACACAAGATACTCTGAGGGTTAGTTTGCAAGGGATTTTAGGGCTTAGGGGTTGGGGCTTGGGATTTGTGGTGCACTTTGAGGCTTTAGGGTTTCAAGGCTTCGGCTAAGACTGCCGTGCAGAGACTCCACAAGAGACCTGGATGGGATTGACCTTTAGGGTTTGTTCGGCTTTGGGGCCACTTTAAAGGGCTCCTTTGAGGGTTTCTGTGGGGATTCCCTTTGCTGTCCCTTTCGGGGGTCCTTTATGGTGGAGGGTTTATGGCCAAGGGGCCGTAGCTGACGACCATTGAGGTGGCAGCAGGCAATCCCTCCGTCGTCTGGGGGAGATACCTGGCGCTTACCAGACTGGAACTTTCCGATGGATTTCGTCTTCAATATCATGCTCTGCACAGCCACAGCACTTGCTGCTTGGTTGTGCATATGTCTTTCTGACTTATGGAGTGCGACTCGATTTTTGACAGGCTAGGTGCATCACTGCACAAAATACTTAACCGGTCTCTATCTACGTTCTTGCTGGCGTTTTCACGATGGTAAAGGTTGCACACAACGCTCAGAAGAGCACGCGCAATAAAAACGTTGATGGTATTGCTTGAGATGCACGTGCTGTTTCTATAACTGACGGAAACGCCCGTACCCTAAACACCTAGACCCAAACCCGAAACCCTAATGCAGGGGCCTTACCAATTAAAATGGGATTTTGGGGTATATTATACCCTAAACCCTAAACCCTAAACCCTAAACCCTAAACCCTATATTCATTTACAATAAGGAACCCCCAAGATGATACTGGTAGTTCTCTAGGCCCCTATATTCACCCTAAACCAAACCGGTTTCAGAGACTCCCCAGAGAACCCAACACCCCCTAACTAAGGAGTATACCTGAAATTGTAGGGGCCCTAATATTATGATTTAAGGTATATTCCTTAATTGAAGGGTATTGGGTTCTCTGGGTCTGTTCACCGAGGCACGTGGCGATCGGCTGGCCAGTGGCCTCTGCCGGCTGATAGGTCGTAATGGGGGCGGCCTGGAGCCAGGCACTTGGAGGTTCATGGGTAGTTGGGTTTAGGGTTTGGGTTGAGGGTTTAGAGTTTAGGGTTTAGGGTTTAGGGTTTAGGGGTTTTGGCACTTGGAGGTTCATGGGTAGTTATAAGTGGGGTTATAAGTCCCCCAATATGGATTATAAGTATAGTGACCGTGTTTGCTACCCATGAACCCACAAGCAGAAATTGTCAGGGCCAACGCTTTTAGGGCTTAGGGTTTGGGGAAGTTTGGGTCATAAGTTTTAGGGCTTAGGGTTTAGGCTTCGAGCTATGCAGGTTCAGAAGGGCTTTGAACAAGCGGAATTTTTCGGGGCAACAGTCAACGTCCACGATGCCCCAAGCTTTCCAACCGGAAATCACCACCACAATCTCATTGATGTGCTCCCCCTGCAACTTTAACTCCACCCGTAATCGCCTTCAGCAACTCTCACACGACCCTAAGCCCACTAAACCCAAACCGCGAGATTCCGTGATGTAGGAGCCCCAATAATTGGAATCGGGTTTTGGGGGTATATGGTACTATAACTCTAAGAAGGAACCCCACAAAATAGTATAGGCAACTATTTAGGCTTCTATTGTAGTAGTAACAAGCTGAAGGGAAGACCCTAAACCCTAAACCCTAAACCCTAAACCAAGCGGCAACTCTGGGCTGTTTCGCTTTCCGATCACGGCAGTCTGGCATGAGATGCCAGGCTGGTCTGAAGACATCGATGCGAGGCAAGTGAGACCTGCAGATGGACCTTTCAGTTTGGGTTTAGGGTTTAGGGTTTAGGGTTTTTCGGCGTTTAGAAGGTTAGAAGTTCAGGGCGTAAGAAACCAACATGGTGAAATATCACATGCAGGCAACCACCTCTGCATCACTATCGGCGGCGTAGGAATCATGTGCGGTACAGCCATGCCACTCAGGAGTGCGGCTTTCTTTGAAGAACTACTTGGTGAAAATTGCATGCAGGTCCTTCCGGAGTCGAAACAGCCATTTTCTCAAGTATCAACAGCAAACAGGGAATGCAGTCACGAGAACCCAGGACCCACACTTCAACAAAAAAGAGTCCGTGCATGAGCATGTCGCCTACGCATCATCCAGCGCAGCCACGCCGGGGAGGAGCTTGCCCTCCAAAAGCTCCAGGGATGCACCACCACCAGTGCTGCAGTGAGAGACCTTGTCAACAGTGTCATACTTCTTGCAGGCGGTGGCGGTGTCGCCACCGCCGATCACGGAGACGGCGCCGTCCTTCGTGACCGACACGATGGTCTCCATCATCTGCTTCGTCCCCTTCTCGAAAGCCTGGCGACAGTCTCAGCGGGTAGAGCCGGGGATGCAAAGGGAGGGGAAGATATCCCGGTATCCCATAAACCCTAAACCCTAAACCCTAAACCCTAAAGACCTAAACTTAGAGTACGAACTTCGAATCCCCCCCCCCGGGCGGCCCCCATCTCGAAGACGCCCATCGGACCATTCCAGACGATCGTCTTGGACTTCTTGATCGCCTGAAAATGTGGGGACTTTCCGAAAATTAGGTACCTGACTCCTATTATTTAGGTACTATACCCTAAACCCTAAACCCTATATTAGCGTCCCCGATTTTTGGAAAACCCCCATGTGGCTCCCTCTGAACTCCAGGCCACGCAGAGGGGAGAGGAGGGCTTCGGATCCCCCTAACACAGGTTGATGAAGGGGTTTAGGGTTTAGGGTTTGGGAATATACCATAACTCCCATAGTTTAGGGTTTAGGATTTAGGGTACCATAATTCCCATAGTTTAGGGCCTTAAGGTACTGCAGGATTGGTATCATCAACAGGAGAAATGCAAGATAAAATTCCTCGCCTCGTCGTTCATTTCGATGGACTTGGGGCCAATGTCGAGGCCCAGGAAGCC